CGCCACCTTGCAGCCCTGATCACACCAGTGTTTCACAAATTTCTGGAGAGATATCCTGCCATTCTTTAGACTGTTTTTTGGCTGCTTTTTGCTGGAGGAGCTGTCTTTCTCTTTAAGATACCCCAAAAGTGCCCTAGTAGTTTTAAGTAAGACAACATGTCCAGGTCATAGTTTCCCCTGTTTTCTTCCTAAAAAACTCTTGTGTGATTTTGGCGGTGTGCTTTGGATCGTTATCATGCTGGAATGTTTCTCTTCTGCCAAATTTCTGCAGATTGGGAGTTATCTTGTCAGCCAGTATTTGGTATATCCACAGACCTTCATGATACCATCTATAAATATCATCCCCCAAAGACCTTTTCTACCCATGCAGCCCCATAAAATCCTTCTATGCTTTACTGTCAGGACTATGCATTCACTGTGGTATCCTGGCCAGGTTCACACCAAACATGCTGTACCCCATCTGAGCCAAACAGATATATCTTAGTCCTTCAGCAAAATTTAGTCACAGTTTTTTCTGTGCCGAAAAGCAAGTGACTGGGCTGTCACAGAAACGGCAACTTCCATCGATCAAGGTCAAGGACAAGGTTACTTTATTAACACCTGTGGATAGATTTGTTTTGCAGAAAAACAAATCATAGCATTTGGCAGCCCTTAACAAAATACACGTTGAAAAAAAGACAAGACAAAAAAGTGCTCAGTATTCCGCCATTCATCGATATAACAGCCAGAAAGTTAAAAAAAATAAGACAAAAATAAATAGGATTAAGATCAGTAATAAATAAAAAAAAAAAAACCTTAGGAAAAACCCTTGTGCCAAGTCTGAACCACTTGCAGGTCTCCTTCAGCATTACATTGTTCAATTAGCACCCTGACTGTGTTTCAACTGCTTTTTAGTTGGTCACCAGACTACCTGTATCCTTTTCAATCTTTGTGAAAGACTATCAGTGTTTTCAGTTCCTTGGGTGATTCATTTCCATGTGGAACCATGATGCAGACATGCTGATATGCACAGGCCATAGGTCCAAAACTGAGAAAGTTCTGGTGTTCACAGCTCATTTTACAACCATGTTACTGCAATTAGGGTCAGTGGGCATCACAGACATTCTTAATTTTGATTCAGTGATCACAGGTTTGTAACCTGTTATCAGTGATCGGAGGTGCATTCTCCTTTGTTGCTGGGTTTCTGCTTTGAAGCCTGTATCTTCAATACAACTTAGAAATAATGCAATTATTGAGAATTAAATAATTTTGAATAATTTGACATGTAAGTATTGTTGCATTCATTTCAGTTGTGTACTGAACAGTGCAGCCAGAAAGGGCTTGCATGGCAGTCCACCAAATAGTTCACACATTTTATTAACAAACACGAATGCCGGCCTCATGGTGGTGCTACATGAAAAATCAGGGTATGACCAAAGTCAGTAGGATTCATCCTCCTAGGGCACAGACAGTTTGTAGAAAGACTCACTGCAATCCATCAAATAGTTGTTAAGATGTTTCAGTTGGATTCAAAGTGGCTGACTGCCAGACAGACATAGCCAGTAAATCAAAGAACAGTTCCAGTGCAAGAAAGAACACTGTATTGCTTATTTCATTGAAACTCCTTCCTGACACCATCATTTTGATCTTTAAAATGGCAAAACCATTAGTATCTCCTTCATTCTGTCGAACAAGTCTCATATTTTGGAGTTACAGACAATTCAGGCACACCTTTGACTTTGTGTTTTGTTGATTTATTTACAGGCACCATCATCAGTGACACACACTCACTAAATGATAGATTACTGCTTTGTCTAACCCTTTGTAATGCAACTATTCTTCTACTCAGCATTCAGCTTTCATTTATCAAGATGACAGAAAACAACAAATAGGCAGCTATTCACTGACTCTGTTTTTTCTGTTACCTCCCTCCCTCCAGACCAGCCAAGTGAAAGAGATTATTGGGTGTTTGTCAAAGACGTCTGGAACTAATTAGATAAGGATTCTTTCTGCATGCATATTCACCTTTGAACAACATCAACATGCTGCTTTTAAAAGCTGACTTTATTAGTTTGACCCCATCACTGGTAGGTGTGTGAGCATTCCCAAGCTGACAAAGATCTTGTTTAGGTGGCCTCAGAAACATTCTGCATGGAGTCGAGGGCCAGGAGGCTGAAAGGAGTGGACACAAAGCTGGTTTGTTAAGCCCTGGAAGACTTGGGGGAGCCAAAGGAGTTCTGAAGAAGGGGAGGGGGGCAAAAGGCATGAAAGGAAATCAGGGGAGGAGAGGGCAAGAAGAGGAGAGAGAGAGAGAGAGAAGGAGTGAGGAAGGATGGAAAGGGGGAGGGGATAATGAGAGGAGGGAGGAGGGGGCCCAGTTTCCATCGCTCACCGCAGGAAATCTGTGTGTGGTTAAAACTCAAGCCAGAGTCTCTTTTGCAAGCAACTCTGCATGTTAGTTACAGAAAGTGAGCAAAGAACACACAGCAGCATGGTCAGCCGGTGAGTAACACTTTCCTGTTATTTTCTCAAGTGCATGTTTGAGAACCAAAAGAAGACAGATCAGAACATTAAAGCAACTTCTCATGGTTCCGATTTATTGGTTCTAGGGAATGCTGAACGAGAAATCAGTTTTTAGACACGTCTTGATCTGCTGGGAAAGAAAATACTGAGCCAGCTGAGACGACTTTAAATGGTGCAAAGCTTCCCATGAGATGTTTTTCCATGTAAATGGGAGAAAATTTGATCGAAACTCTAAGTTTTTATCATAAAATCTAACAGTAAATGATTTCTGCAGCACTGAGATGGTCAACAAAACTTAGAAAACTTGTGAGCACTCTGAAAAAAGGCCATGTTTAAACAGCAGAGGAAGAATTTCAGCAGATGCAGACGCATAAGAATTTGCAACAACATTTTGCACAAATCAATTTAGTGGCGCTTGAAAGTTTGTGAACCCTTTTGTGGACCTGTATGTAAACATGCACTAAACCTACAGATTTATTTATTTATGAAAATGATCCAATATTGAATATTTGTGAGTGGCAGAAATATGTGAACCTTTGATTTCAGTACAGGGTATTTTGTGTAGAAGGCCATGCACATCTGGATTATACTGGATACCCGTCATCCTGCTTCAGCAGCAAACCATGCAGTGGATTTATTTTTTTCATCATAAGAGCTCAACTCAGTCTTTAAAAACTGTTTTGTGACTCAGCTATGTGATGGAATTCTGTTTTTGATTTTGCTCTCCAGTGTGGAGCATCCTGCTGCAGGCTACAAGAAGATCTTTGAGACGGTGGAGGAGCTGAATGAACCGATACCTGCAAAAATCACCGGTAGGAATGTTGAAGATATTGTATGAACCCGGGTTCTGCCCTTGAATAAGATAACAAACACACTGCAGGTTTGTGGAAGAACAAAATTACATGATTGCAATGGGAAAGACCCTCTCTCTCTCCCCCAAAGAGGACGTACAAATGTAACAGCATCTATAGTGAACACAACTCTTTTCCTATTGACTCGCTGTAAATAAGTTTTAAGTCTCAAGTTTGTGGTACAGTTCTCCATACCATTTTAGCAATGCTGAGTCCATTTTTCCAAAGGCAAAACCTTTTCGGGGTGTAAACATATCTTCTTTTGCTGGCCTCAAACCATAACCATTGACCCTTGGGCAACTCTTCCTAAATTAAGCGACATGAAAGTTACTCTACTAACATGACTAACATGTTCCCCAACAACAAAGATACATGTACTGTCAAGTGAGGCCAAGGATTGAGATCCCAGAAGCAGCCACGAACAAAGAACACTGGCCCGGCATAAGCAATATAAAAGACTCTATGATAAGAAATGCTGTAATCTGGTGATTAAGTGTTTAAATATGAAATGGTTATTTTAACATTGCAATGAATTAAAGGTGATTTCATGTAACCATTGAATTAAAGCTGCACAGTTAAAGGTGGGAGAATGTCAAGAGAGCAAGAAATGTTAGTGTCCCTAAAACAGCTCACGTCTGGACATGTCATATGAGGCCACTGTCCGCAGGATGTTCACAGAATGAACTTACTGTTAAAGCAGTTAATGGTTCCTCTGTTTACCAGCATGTATCCTGTGATTGCCAAGCTGTGCTCTTTGCTATTACCAAATAGGTGAATCAGATCCTAAAGGTATCACATATATGGGCTAAAGGTGAAGCGCCTTTTAGAAATGTGTGTGTGTAATCAAGTGTATGTGTTAAGGATAAAAACTGTGTGGTAGCACTAATCGTGTGGCGGGGCAGAGTTGAATACTGTATAAAAAGGCATGACAAAGAGACCTCAGATGGAGTTCGTGGAGATTGCTTGTGGAGACAGCTTGCGATGGAGACGGCGGAGTTCTTCACGGGACATCGCTGGAGCTGAACCCTCCTCCACTGATTGAAGAAGTCCCGATAGGTCTGCAAATTCTACTCAAGAGGAGCAGCAGAACCCCTTTCTCTGTTCTGCATGAAGAAGTATTCTTTTCCTTCCCCAAATGGATGCAAAAGAACTGTAGATGTGATCGGAGTCAGAACATCTCATCCCTCCCATGAGCCAGGAGGGTTTTGTCCGGGGATCAGGACTCTGTACTGGGTTGCTGTATCACTGGAAGATGACTCCTCCAGGCTCAGGTCTGAGCAGGGCTGAGTTAATCAGCTCCGGCCGGGCTGTTCGACTCTCCCTCTCCCCAAATTACTTATTAGGTTACTATTTTAGAAAAGCTCAGTTCTATAATTTTATCTCAAATCATTTGATTTAGTCATATTTTGGAACATTTTGAATGAACACTCAAGAGCTCTAGCTTTGCCCTGCTAAAGATTTGCAATAAATATCTGATCCTGCCTTTAAAGTTTTTTTGGTTTGAAATTTCATTAAGTCATTTATAGTAACTGATGGTAGTGGAAAGTTAGTCAATTGTGTGCATAAGATCTTTATAGTGGTTCTTAATGGTTATTCTAAATCATGAGTAAAATAGTATTTTTAAACATATACCTGGGGTTAGTTGTGCCAAACGTCTAAATCTTAACTCAGCAATTACCAAGTGCTCAATCCATTTAAGAGGAAAGCTGCCACTAACAGGCGTGTCTGCTAGAGGGATTTGACTACTGAGGCTACTTAGTTGAGTCAATTATTGGAAGAAGCGGGGTAGGCATCTGGATTAAGGCAGTTAGAAGCTAGGCGAGTTTCCTTGACACCAGCTTAAGCAGTTCTACAGAGTCCTCATAGGTCAAGGGCCTGCAGGCAGGTAGAACCTAACCCTAGAAACGGAGAGCTGGACCAGTGGCCCTGTCACAGGGATCAATAGTGCATTAAATGACCAAACAGATATTAAAGAGCTTATGATTGATTTTACTTTCACAGGAGCAGAGTGATTGGGACCCTCAACACAGACAAACAGGCACAGATGCACAGTACATTATTTTAAAAAAAAAAAATCTTTGTCTCAACATGTTTATTATCCTCATATATTTTGTCACAGCTGAGTGGGTGGCAATGTTGGTGGATCCACCAGTTTATTTACTTTCTGAACAGCTACTGGATGAATGGTCATGAACTTTTGTACTAATATTCTTGGTTCCCAGAAGGTGAATCCTAGACTCTCCTTCTCAGCTCATGTCTGTTATGCTCCAGTTTTTCTGTGTCTGTTTCCACTCGTGGGTCTGCTCCGATCCGACAGAGCACAGACAGCGAGAGAAGGAAAGACGAGTGATGTGAAGATAACATTACTTGAGTTGACAGCAACTCATCACGGCCATTCAATGCATTTTACAATGCTTGTGTGAATGAATAGTTTCAACTGGATTTTTTCGTGTTGATGTACACAACCTTTTGTGTTGTAAATGAAGGTGACGGGAGAGGGGAGGTGTAGCTGGCATGCCTGTTGGTTTTGGTCTGAGATGCTAGTGTTCTAGTGACAACAAGTGTTTCTGAATGTTGTATACTGAAGTTTTCAGTGAAAGAAATTAATTTGCGCAAACGCAGAGTTTGGGCTCGATTACCTTCAATACCTGGATTTAAGTCTTAACGTTGCCAACTTTTCACGGGTATCAGTCCGTTACATCGAGATTTGTCAGTGTTTTCCAGACAGCTATGTGACAGGAGTCATTGATAAAAATATATCCACTGACGCTTGCTAACTGACCATCAGCAGTCCAGTTGCCTTTACCCTATTTTCTCTCTGCAATAGCATTTAACTGAACAATATGTTGGGAAGTGGTGAACAAAATGCCACTGTAAAGTAAACACAAAATGAATTTTAAAAAAAGGAAAGAAGCTTTGGGTCCCCACCTATTCTGCATGGACACATGAATGTCACATTCAGGTGTGACCTTTGCATCAGTCTTGCTCATGAAAATATTCAGGTAGAAGTGGTGATTATGCAGAATTTGAAACAGATCATTTGTTATTTTTAGGGTCAGACAGGCTGAACAGAAGGGTTTTAAAACAGCATTATGTTCTATCCTGTGTGTGCAGGTGTTCTCCCATCATGGCTGGGGGGCAGTCTTCTCAGGATGGGTCCAGGTCTGTTTGAGGTGGGAGATGAACCTTTGAACCACCTGTTTGACGGACAGGCTCTCATACACAAGTTTGACCTGAAGAATGGTCAGGTGACCTACTACAGGAGGTAACAATATTCCTCAGTACCTTACACTATCAGAGCACATTTTTAATAGGACACATGTTAAAAGCCATCTTTTTTGACTGGCATTGTTCTGAGAAGATAACTGATATATTTTTCCAGTGTTGATACACCTGTTTCCACACGCTGTCTTGGAGTGTTTTAAGGGGCTGCTTAACATTGCCATGTATGCCAATCTTGAATATTTTCACTGTTTTCTCTCCACTTGTAAAAAAAGAAAATCTGGCACATGTATCCCACACCTGCAGATCCAAATCCAGATGCAGATGTTTTATAACATTTGATTTTGGAATGCAGATTTTGTGCAGATGAGGAAAAGCGCTGACAGTAAATTCATTCTCACTGGAATGTTGTAAGGGAAGAGACAAAACCAAAACAGACATGGAGCTGCTACAAACCACAAAAATCCCTCATCAGACGTCTCTGAGGATCAACAAGTCGTTCTTCTCTCAGCAGAGTCACTGTTGCATTTCACAGATTTCCGTTACTTTACTGGATTGAAAGTGGCTTTCTTGCCAGTTTTTTTCACATGATATGCGTGATTTTTGTTCTCAGGTTTATCAAGACAGATGCGTACGTTCGTGCCATGACGGAGAACCGAGTGGTCATCACTGAGTTCGGCACAGCAGCCTATCCAGACCCCTGCAAAAACATCTTCTCCAGGTAACCCCAAACCTCCTGTGCTCAGATGTTATTAAAATTTCCGGCAGAGCTTCGATTGTTCAAATACTGTTGGAAATGGGGACATTTTTTAAAAAAAGAGACTTTATTTGTTGTCTTGCCAAGAGTTAGATGAAAAGATCAGATCTTTCACTCTGAGACTGAGGCCACGAGACTGATAGTTTGGATTAGCAGAAGCACATATTTCTAAAGTTTTTCCATGAAAATAGTCCCTTCCTGTCCTCACATGGCTTAGATGTAGCTTCCCTTCAAATGTGCAGATCATAGACTGTATGTAAAGATGGACAAACCCTCTGTCATGTCAGTCACATGGCTGTCGCCATCTTGGCAGTGCCTGACTCCTCCTAACTCCCAGCTAATCCAAAAATTAAGAGGTGGAGTGTAAATGGAGCTAAAGACAGGCCATGCAAACACCTCTGGGCCGTAGACTGTCCTGTGACAGCACCCACTGACTGGCTTTTGGAGTCAACCACATGTGGATATTAGAGGAACTAGTTTTTGGCACCTTCATGTTAGCTTCATTTTTTGACCCCTAAATTGTCGCTTGGTGCAGATCTACCACCTCCCCACTTGCTGCAGCTCAGCACACCAGCTCACCTGTGACTCTGCTCAAATCCTGTAAAACTACTGTTTGCAAAACAATGACAAGTTATTCAGCAATACACATCTGAAAAGAAAACAGTTCTGAAGGAGGATAAAGACACAGAAAGGCCCAACCAAGAACTGGTTCATTAGGTTAGTCCCCAGAAGTGTGACTGAATGTTTTTGAGACAGTCATTGAAACACTGCAGCTTCAAGGAGGAAACACTCAACCATGGTGTTGACTGCTTATTTCACTCATGATATGTCTGCCAGCACATCAAGAGCACTGTATGGACCTGTTAATATAAAAACAAAAAAGGGATTTTCACTACAGGCTCCAAAGGCACTAAAAATGACTGGGTCAAGCTTCTCACATGTGAATATGTGCTGGTTTTCTGTGACATTAAAGGGACAATGTATGTGGTCAAACAATTTGAAAATGTCAGCTAAAAAGAATCTTTTACCTACAACTTAAACCTATTGCTACAAGACTAAAACATATATGTTGATCAGCACAGTTTGATGGATTCTGACTCTCAGCGGGGTGTGTGTGAGTGCTTTACATGTTGATGTTTACTGTCTACCTGTGTTATTGTGTGAATGTCACCATATTCATTGTGTCACAGCATTATGTCCTGTAATAAAACTAGTATAGTGTTACTTCAGGAAAACAGGCAGTTGGCTATATATAAACCTATCATAAATTTCCTCGTGCTTGTGTCTGTTTAGGTTCTTTACCTACTTCAAAGGCATTGAGGTAACTGATAACTGCCTAGTGAACATCTATCCAATCGGTGAAGACTTCTATGCTGTCACTGAAACCAATTACATCACCAAGGTTGATCCTGATTCGCTGGAGACATTAAAGAAGGTGGGATCTGTTTACATTTCCAGGATTTTTGAATCTGACGATAGAGGCCATATTTTTCTGGCAATTTCATTTTGTGGACACAATCATACTATTTAAAGCCTGTCAATATGATTAAACTGATGTTTTACTTGGACAGGGTGGATGGGAAATGAGAAGGCCGTGCAACTGTCTGTTTAGTTAGACTTGTTTAAAAAATTAACAGTCACTTAGTTAAACCGCAAACTCTCTAAACCTGCCAGTACAGAGAGTTCTAGTTCAAGCAGTTATACATTATGTCTTCATTTGATGTATTTTCTGTAAATCCTTTGCAAATCATCCAGCTTAGAAATCCAAGTTCTCCTGCTGCCCTAAATGTATGAATAAACTGCCTTTTGTTTGAATGATTCATTCAAAGTCATCCTGTGAGTCAGGTTAACTGAACTTGAGAAAACATGTCAATATCTTAATATATGTAGTTAAATCAACTGCTTAGCCACATGGATAATAGTTACAGACAAACTTACTTTCATTTTACATTTTCTCAGCTTTAACAGTTTGTTCTTAGTTTAACACTGTTGAAGCCATTTTTTGTACCGAAGTAAGTACAAAGACACCGTGTGAAGCTGCTGACAATAACAGTGAGATCAGTTTCAAGCCTGCAGTTGAAAGAACTTAATTCAACACAACCCTTCATCACTGTTAGAATAGTTTTCAACAACTGTGACTTACTTTGATACGTATTAAAGGCACAAAGTTTCCATTATGTCTGTTTCATTCACATGACAAAAAATAAGTCTGTGGAGATTTTGAACTTGAGCATCTTAACCCTGCTAATATGCTAGTTTACCATCCTATACATTTATGTTATTGAGTTGAGTGAACTATCAGCTGTTCCTTCATTCAATACATCATATTAAATCAAATTGGCTCAAGCTATAAGAACTCATGTACTTAAACTCTAAGGTGATTTGAAACTAAAAATGTAACATTTTAAGTTCCATCAACTAGAAATCAGCTAAATGTATATATTTACAATAAGTAAACTAGAAGAGGAGTTCATTAGACTAAATGCCTTTATAATGTTCCATTAAATTACATTTTAGGCTCTGTTTTTATTAATATTTCTGCTTTTCCTAACTGCTTGTTTAAGCAATTGTGCAAAGAAATGCATTTATATTTATAACTTTTTGATTTACATTACATTTCCTGCATTCCTTTTTTGTCTTTTGCAAATGTATTTCCATTAGGTGGACCTGTGTAAGTACCTGTCAGTGAACGGGGTGACTGCCCACCCCCACATCGAAGCAGATGGTACAGTCTATAACATTGGTAACTGCTTTGGCAAGAACATGAGTCTGGCTTATAATATCGTCAAGATCCCGCCTGCTCAGGAAGGTGAGTGTGGTATGCAGGTCACTAGATTAAAATTACAGGTGAGAAGGCAGAGAGAAAGAGATAAACCAGAAAAATAGCAAACAAAGACACAGAGAAAGAGTGAAAGATGTGAAGAAAGAAAAGAAAAATGAGGATATAAACAATCAATGATAATAGAAAGGGAACAAAAGTATCACAAAAAAAGAAAGACAGCACATAAAAATAGAATGGAAAAAAACAGCTTTGTGTAGTAACAGTGTGTATCTGTGTGTTTCCAGAAAAAGCAGAGCCATTAGAGAAATCCAAAATCCTGGTGCAGCTACCCAGCAGTGAGAGGTTAAAACCCTCCTACGTACACAGGTACACAGTTGTCTCATGCATATACTTAGACAGCATCTGTCCAAGAACAAGCCAAAAAGACTGTTCTGTGTTTTCAATCCTTAACAGTAAAACAAACTGTATACTTATTCTCTCTCTGATTGTCTGTCTGACTGTAGTTTCGGTATGACGGACAACTATTTCGTATTTGTGGAGCAGCCGGTGAAGATCAACCTGCTCAAATTCCTGTCGGCTTGGAGCATCAGAGGAGCCTCGTACATGGACTGCTTTGAATCCAACTACAGCATGGGGGTAAGCAGTTGCTGCACATCCCCCCCTAATATTTCTTGATATCAGTTCATGTTCAAATATTTTAAATCATTTTACCAGATACTACGCGCCTACATAATACACACTCGATGCGTTGTAGATTAACTGCAGTACTGGGCTGCACCACTAGGCGGAGCTGTTACTTTTTATTACTGTAGTGACCAGAGGAGGCACCTTTGCGTTGATGAGTAGAGAGCATTATGTGAGTTTACCTACTAAAGGAGAACCACGACAAAGACTTGTATGAGGCTTTTTGAGGTCAGGCCAGTGACTGAACGTCAACGTGAGCTGAGACACAGCAGGACAAGGAATCTATATTGTTGTAGAATGTATCTGTATTATTGTAGAAAGCCGGCATAGTTGTCCTTTCTTATGTTTGTGTGTGGCAACAAAGTCAATATTGATCAGGTCAAAAGTGCTGTGAACAGCTCAGATACAAGTCTGAGGATCAGGTTTGGCACATCCTAACTATTAATATTGTTCAGTTATGGTTAGATTTCCTGACCCTCATGTCGGGAGAGTGTGTTTGACTGGTTACACGTGACTGCCTCTACCTGCTCATATTCATGTGTGTGTCTGTGTTGCAGACATGGTTCCACCTGGCCACTAAGGACCCAGCAACTTACATGAGCAGCCACAAGTTCAGAGCGTCAGCCTTCAACCTGTTTCATCATATTAACACCTATGAAGACGAGGGCTTCATCGTTGTAGACCTCTGCACGTGGAAAGGGTGAGTAACTGCTATATATGAATAGATAGATAGATAGATAGATAGATAGATAGATAGATAGATAGATAGATAGATAGATAGATAGATAGATAGATAGATAGAAGCAAAATAAAGAAATCAGTGTCAAATAGTGCAATAAAATTCACTGTTCAAGGCGAGAAGTAAACAGGATAGTGAACAGAATTTGCAAGACTGTGCTGCATGTGTGCATCCGTTAGTGTGTTTAGTGTGTAATGTGGATACCCCCCTCTCCATCTGCAGCCATGACTTTGTGTATAACTACCTGTACCTGGCCAATATCAAGAAAGAGTGGGAGGAGGTGAAGAAAGCAGCAACAAGAGCTCCTCAGCCTGAGGTCAGGCGATACGTACTGCCGCTGGATATTCACAGGGTGAGTCCACACACCCACGCTGCAAATTAGGAATTACATTACTAGTGGCTATTCTCTTGTATTTACTGTTTGTGCAGCATTCTTGAGAATACTGGGTTTGAAGTGCTTGTGTTGGAGAAACAGCATCCAATATAAATGTACGTACATTTACTTACATGTCTTAAAATGCATGAGCAAATCATTTTTGAAGGTGAGAGTATACACTGTGTTATAATCAAGGTAATAAATGATTAGTTAATAAATTATTATTTGGAGTGATAATGCCTTATTATGTAAGTGACTGCAGGCTGTCAAGAGAACTACACCTATAAACTAAAATAGTTTTTTGTTCCTTAAACATGCACAAACACTGTCAGTACTGCTGGCTGCATTAGCCACTAAGCTCATCACCTCAGAAGAAACAAAACTGGTGGTACACCTGAAAAATTCAGGCTAATACAACATGTCCTGAGAAAAAAAAATCTCCAATGTCACAAATAATCTCTATCTGTGGTTGCAGCAGTTCAGATGCTTATCTGTATTGTGGCATGTAGCTGTCCCAACGTAAACCCTTAATTGTATCAGTTCTTCTTATTATTGTAAACTGGGACTGACTTGGCCTTATTCTTTTAGCTTCAGCTGATCCTGGATACTTTTCACATAAACCCCAGTTTTCTTGCAGTCCCGTTTGAAAGACGGGTTTATCAGCATTTAGTGTGTTTATCTACATCTTTGTGTGTGTCCAGGAGGAGCAGGGGAAGAATCTGGTGTCTCTGTCCTACACCACAGCAACCGCTGTGCTTCATAGTGATGGCACCATCTGGCTTGAGCCTGAAGTTCTGTTTTCTGGACCAAGACAAGGTAACATGCACAAATAACACACTGTATGCAGTAGTGTATACAAGGAGGCACAGAGAAATTTGTAATTACATCATTTAGGTCTTTATGATGGAAACAAATCTATAATAAGTAAAATGTGCAAATTTTATAGTGTATTTTTGTCTTTTATGCAAATAGAAATGTTATACTTAATATGTTTGGGGCATGAGCTAATATGTATATTATAAAGGTCACACAATGTACTGATACTTATTCAATTTTATGTGGCCTGTCAGCTTTTGAGTTTCCACAGATCAACTACTCGCAGTGTCGTGGGAAGAAGTACTCGTTTACATACGGCCTGGGCCTCAACCACTTCATCCCCGATAAGGTAAGAGTGCTTTTACTTTTCACAGCAGGAGATGAAGAGAGTGTCCGGGCCTGAGAAGTCAACTGACTCCCCAGCACCCACAGGTGGCAGTGTTAACAGCTGTTGGTTGTTGCTGCAGATCGTCAAGCTGAATGTGCAGACCAAAGAGACGTGGGTGTGGCAGGAGGAAGAGTGTTACCCATCAGAGCCGCTGTTTGTGCCAACACCTGGAGCTACGGAGGAGGACGACGGTAGGATACATTCTCACATCTCAGGGGACAAATTCACACATTTTCACACTACTGGTCGTTTCTATAGATGGGGATTTCCCTCCGTTTCCAGAATGCTGTGGTGACTCAGTGGCAGCTGACTGACTGATTCCTCTCTCCTCTGAGAGCATTTGCCAGACTTTTAGAGCTCACTGTCTGTGACAGTCGTAAACCTTGACTGTTTGTTTTGGATATTTAATTTGTTAATATGCATATAAAGCTGTTAGAAGAAGGTATGAGCTCACTTGTTGTGGAGGTTTTGTTTTCCCTGCATTGGAGCTTTCACAAACTACCAACTGAAGCAACCAAACCATAGCCATTCACCTGTCACTGTTTTACTGGGACACTACTGCTACATACTGGGCTGAACACCACCGAAGAGGACCGCTGTTGGTTTAAAGAAACACAAACAGCAGAGGATTTTTTTTCTTCCTGTAGTAGAATGATACTGGGTGCAATCAGACCATTCACAGACACAGGGCTGTAAGGATACGTCTGTGTGAGACTAGCTGCTGACAAGCATTGAATACAATATACTGACAGTGAATCAGACCTGCAAGACAAACAATAAGCAAACACAGCCCTGCATGTAACATTTATGACACCAAATCCTATGTTGAGAGATCATATGTGAAAGCCAAGTGTTCAACTTCAAACACTGCAACAAAACGACCACATAAATCAGAACTTGAACTTTCTTTCCTTCATCCTGCTTTTAAAATACTATCTTCCTAACATGTACCTAACAAATTTCTAAAATTAAAGCTATTTCAACAATTGCACACACAATCATCCCCTCTGTCTGGGTTTTGCAGGCGTTTTGCTGAGTATCGTGGTGAAGCCGGGTGCAGAGAGACCAGGCTTCCTGCTGGTGCTGGATGCTATGAAACTGACAGAGCTCGCCAGGGCAGAGGTCAACACCATCATCCCTGTCACCTTGCATGGAGTATACAAACCATGACCTTTTTTTAATCAAGATACTTCCCCAAAACGCAGCAGTTCCTATCACTTTTTCTTCAAATGACCCCTGAAATATATACAGCGCCCTCCATAATTATTGGCACCACTGGTTAAGATGTGTTCTTTAGCTTCTAGTAAATTCAGTTTTTTTCTAAATAATATAGGACCACCATGAAAAAAAAGAGGAAAATTCAACCTTTAAATCAAGTGCATTTATCCAGTGTGAAAAAAAATCCCACATGAAAAAATTATTCTTTTACATCAAATCATGTGTGCCACAATTATTAGCACCCTTGATGTTAATACTTTGTACAACCCCCTTTTGCCAACAATTCATTTAACTTGAGTTGAAGGTTACATTTTTGTGAGAGTATGCTTCTGCAATAAAAATTGATATTTATTTTAAGGCTTTTAACACATCTTAACCAGGGGTGCCAATAATTATGGAGGGCGCTGTATATATAAACATTTATTGTATGCTTTATCTTGTGGTATTAACATTGTTTCTACTTCTGCTTTGGTTGATTGTCATAAACAACTGAACACTGTCTTGTAGCTGGTGGTAAAAAGCAATCGATGTGTAAAGAAAAATAAACTGTGGCACATAAGTATAAATAACTACCTTTACTGTATCAGATGAAGACTTTTTATTTTATACTCAAAATGGCATCTGCATGTCTGAAGTCGCCTTTGTAAAGCAAGAGGTACAATTACAGTTCTTTGTGACTGATATTTCAAACCATTTTATACAAATAAAAACAATGTAATTCCAACAGTCATTTTACATTTGTGATTACAGGTTAAAGTTTGGGTGTTGATTTTATTTTATTTTTTTTTCAACATTTAATGCCGTAAGAGTGGCTGTGTTCCAATTCAGAGGCTGCATCCTCAGAGGAATGCAAAGGCCATGTCTGATAATAATAATACTAATATAAAAATTCTAATATATATGTATTCAGCAGGGCTGCAGGGTGATCGGTGGTTAGCACTGTCGCCTTGCAGCAAGGTCACCGGTTCGTGTCCCGGTGAGGACACCCAGGATCTTTCTGCGTGGAGTCTCCATGTTCTCCCCGTGCAGGTTCTCTCCAGGTTCTCTGGCTTCCTCCCACAGTCCAAAAACATGTTGAGGTTAATTGGTGATTCTAAATTGTCTGTAGGTGTGAATGTGAGTGTGCTTGGTTGTCTGTCTCTAAGTGTAGCCCTGTGATAGACTGGTGACCTGAAGTCAGCTGGGATAGGCTCCAGCCCCCCGTAACTCTAGTGAGGATTAAATGGTGTATAGATAATGGATGGATGGATGGATGGATGCAAGTTAACTGATACACTTTACAAATAGAACCTAATCATCACATGTAGTTGAAGCTCATTATATGTAGTAAATGTAAACTGAAATGAAATAGGGATATTTTCTGACTGAGTTTGTTTTAAAGATAAGCTGCTGTTGCTTTTAGGAGAATTATCTATATACTTAAAAGGTGAAGTTATTTTAGCTGAGTTTTACACAAACTCATCTCACCACCAGGTGGCACCCTTGATTGCAAATTAAATTTTAGATTTTATAGAGTCAAGTCAGTTACAGTCGGTTTTATCAACACAGCCCAAAATCAAATATGATTGAAATATGTAATCCATCAACAGAGTTAAATATATTCAGTTCCTTGGGTCAAATGAATAGCAGTGGGGTGTTTGTTTTTCCTCCTTCAAACTGTCAAAAATGAAAATATAAGCAGCAGGTTCCATTATCGCATTTACGTAATAAATACAGTACAAACGTAGAAACAAATTCCAGTCTGGTTCCTCCACCGACCTGTAAAAAGACTCAAGTAACAAAGTCACAAAAGTGATTTGCTGTTTCTGTAATCCTGTCAGCAGATAAAAAAAACTGAAATTAACATTGTGCTGCAAATTTACAGAATTTGTATTAGTATTAAAAAAATATGTGTTCATTGTAAATTATGTCTTTTTTAAAAATGTCCTAAAAAAATGTCATGTTTGTTTAAGATAGAGATGATGAACCGTAGAAACTATTCCATATAACATTACCCATACCCATAACATAATAAAATGATAGATGACATTAAAGTTAAGTGCATACATATTCCTGATCACTTCTCTGATAAACTGACCGAACCACTAACAACTCTAACTAACTCTTGCAAAACATTTAAAGAAGTACCAACAAGTGAACCGGAATGCAAAATCTCCACCAGCCCTTAAATTCATTTTAAAATTGGAACCTGAACATGATGCAGTTGTATTTTTTTTTTTTTGTTTTTCATTCAGAGAAGCAGTCACATACAGAAATATGACTGACTACATTTATTAGATTTTAATGAATAATGATGAGTTTTATTTTAGAGGGGATCATTTAGAGTTTCTGATTCGTCTAAGGTTTACCTTTTTGTGTCGTTAGAGGAAACCAAAGCATCCGGGGTCAACCCACAGAAACAGTGAGAATCGCAACTCCATCCAGAAACTGCCATCTGGAGGGGTGGAGGTGTTTCTGTGAGGGTTCAGTGCTTATCACTGATCCACCGAGCTGCCTTGTATGGAAGAGGAGTTGGAGATAGAAGGGTGAGGAACGGGGGATGAGGGGTGGTAGTGGGTGGAGGAGACAAAGGAGAGGCAGAGGGATAATGGAGGGAGGGTGGAGGGGTGACGATGAGACTTGTAGTTCCTCTGACGCAGCTCTTAAAACTGCCGACGTTCATCTTGCTGGTCTCAGGCTGGATGTTGGCCTCTTCATGGCTCTCTCCCAATGTAGCAGACAGAAAGGGAGCTGGACGTTGGACCCTGCTGGGGATGTCCCCATCTGAAAGCAGAGAACACCAAAGTTCTTCATTGTGCAAAACTTCAATGCAGGTGTGTCTGGAGGAGCTCTGAGGGAGGCGAAGAGGGGACTCTGTAGAACCTCCCAGGGTGTGGTTCTCCTATCAGCATCATGGTGCCACATGTTTTTAATCAAGCTGACCAACAGCTGCTGATCGCTGTGTGGTGCTGTTTTCTCTCTCCATTACCTGCTCGGTGTGATCAAGACAGTTGAGTGGGATCCTGGTGTCTGGATGGAATCCTCTCTCACAGGAGAATTCTTGTGGAGACTGTGAGTCGGGTAGTTGGCTCTCAGTCTATACTGGCCGGGTAGAGTGGGTGCTGTATTTGCACATCCACAGCTTCAAACTCCCAGACATCACTTATCATTGACATCAATAAGTGGCACTTGAACTCTGACGTCCTCTCTGCTGACACCAAACACGCCAAATCAAGGTTTTGACTTTAACTGGCTGCTCCACTACCATTTTATTTTTAAGTTATGAAATCCGCGGGAACTATTTCTTCAGCTCTCAGGTGGGACAAGGTGTGACCACCAGCTGTAAGATCAGCCTCAGCTCTCTGATGGAGAGAACCACTTCTTTCTTTCCTGCATGTATTTGTACAGGCTTTTACGAAGGAGTTGAAAGGTTAAACAGATCCGCTCCTTTTAAAAGTAAAAGCTGTTCTACTTAACGATGAAAACTTTCTGTATTTAATGATTAAACTTTGAATAGTTGACAGCACTGTAGGACGACAGTTTTTGACAAAATGATTGAAGTTTTTCAGGATAGTCTTCATGTTTTACCCATTTATGTGACAAGATTATATGGTATTTTATTTGTCTATTGCATTAAAGATTA